GAGAGAGAGAGAGAGAGAGAGAGAGAGAGAGAGAGAGAGAGAAAATGTATTTTTCATTCAGAATTTTTTAAAAATTTCTTTTTTTTCTGTTTTTTAAAAATATAAATAAATGATCATTATCATTAATGTTTTTGGTTATTATTATCACTGTCATCATCATCATCATTATTTATGAATAATCATTATTATTCAAAGAATTCAGAGAAAAAACATCAATTGTGAATCTTTAATTCATTTCAAAATTTCATTTAATTTATTTATTTCAAATGAAATGAATATTAATATGAAAAATTTATAACAGAATTTTACAACAATAACGACGACAACAACAACAATTTAATAGCTATCAACAACAACAACAAACATTTAGCATCATCATCAATTGAAAGATTGATAGAAGAAAGCAGTGCCCAAAAGGCAAATTATCATTAGTTTTGAATGAATGATAATTTTTGAAACAAACAAACAAATTTTTGTAGTTGTTGTTGTTGTTGAAAAAAAAATGAATCCATTTTTTTTTATCATGAGACATGCGCAATGTTTTTTTCTCGTAGAATTATTTTTTGATGATATTTTTTGACAATCGTTTGAAACGACCGTGGAATGATAATGGATAGTGGTGAAAAATTCAATATTCAAAAACTCTGCAAATGCAAATATGCAAGCAAACAGGACAGGCCAGGCACAATGAATTAAAGAATGATTAATGTTTGTGTTTGAAGTACGTTGACATCATCATCTTCGTTCGATCTTCGTTCGATCGTCGATCGTTCACAGAATCCGGAATCCAGAATGTGTAGCTGACTCTTTCTGATTCTTAGCTTTTTCAATTGAAATTCTTTTCTTACCCAAAAATGGAATGTTGTCGATGATTTCGTATGGAAGATCGAAAGAATCGATGAATCATGTGGATTCTGGTTACGTTTTTTTTCGTTAAACATCAAAAAAAAAAAACAAGAAATCCATAGAAAGTGTTACAGTGTTAAAAAAAACAGGATTTTTTTTATTCATTTTTAAATTGAAAATTTTTTAACCCAGAATTTCAAAAAAAAAAAATCGAAAACGACAAACATTTACATCAACAGAGAAGAAGTTAACAGGAAAAATTTTACAAAATTTCAATTTTAAAAAACAATTTACAAAAAAAACGCATTCAGAACCTTATGGACGGTGTGAATTTACAAATCATAATAATCATCATTCAACCCTTTGCACTCCGACGGGAGTGTTAAGGGTTAATTTTTTTTTTATTCAACAGTAACAATTAATGCTTCACCTGGATCTAAACGTAATGCATTCATAATTAAAAATTCCTGTGTACGATTAATATTTGTTGCTAATTGTGTACGAGAAAATCGAAATTTATCCGAAAAATCTTTAATAACCGTTTGATTACCAAGATTAGCGAATAAAACATAACGATAACGAATACGATCCTTTGATGATAATTTAGTATTAATTTGACGATCAAAATATTGTTCCAAAACGATTATCGTATGATCAATATAATGGAATAAGTAATTTAATTGATTCTGTACGGATTTATGAGATGATTTTGAGCCTTTTTGTGGTAAATTCGGTGTTAATCCGCTTAATGATGTTTGTTGATGATCATTTTGATTTAACCATGTTGAATCATCATCGTTGTAAAGAAAATCCAAACGAAAATTGATTAATTCACCGAAAATTTTTAACCATTCAGATCGTTTTTCAACATTGATTTGTTGATAATCGGGATATATTGGTAGCCATGATGATGAGGTAGTTGATGATGGTGTTAAATTCGTCGGACTAAAATTACCCGTCGGTAATTCTGATGACCATGGCATTGGACTTAGATGGCTATTGGCGAAAATCTTTTCGGAAAAAAGTAGAAAAAAATGGAAAAAAACGTTATTAGGCAAAATATTAGAAACATGTGATGCGAAGGGATTAAATTTGGGAATAATGGAGAGGAGAAAATTAATTTCAATCAATCAAAATAGTCATCATAATCATCATGTGATGAAGAGGATTATCATCACCATCATAATCATGGTAAACACACACACACATACTGGAGGCACAAAATTAACACTTTAATCGTCAAAGAGAAAAATGAATTTAGATTTGTAAAACTGTGGGTTTGGGTTGGTTGGAAAAACCAGAACCAAAACCAAAAGTAAATAAATAAATAGTTTGGCCATTCGGGCAACAGAATCATCATCAAAAAAAATAAACACTTTGGTCCATCACATTGGAAAATTTTCGGGTATTAAATGAAATGAATGAAGGAAAAGTCAACAAAACGCTATGAAAGAAGGGAAGATTTTGTCATTTTAACTAATAAAAAAAAATACAAAATTGATTTCTTTTTTTTTGCGTCGTTTCAAAATGATGATGAGGATCATCATTTACTTTTGATGATGATGATGATGATGATAATGAAATTTGTGCAAAAAAAATTTTATGTTTTTCATGTTGCAAGCAGATTGGGATAATGGGAAAATTTCCCAGAAATCACATTATTTTTTATTTGTTTGTTTTTTTAATATTAGATTTGAAAAAAAACGAATTGATACATATTGAACACATTCATAATTTAACCCCGTACGTTCATATAAAAATCAATAAATGAAAAAAAAACAAACGAAAAAATTCAATGATGATCATCATCAAAAAAAAAGATTCAAAAAATAAAAAACAAATTCGGTTTTTTGTCATTTGAAGAAAATCAATGATAAATCAAACCAAAAATAGTCAAATAATCCCCGAGAAACAAACAAACAAGAACAAAATGGGCAAAATGAATTTTGGCCACAAAATAAACATGGCCACCACCACCATTAACAGTCATTATCATTCAGCAAAAACGACCACAGCAACAGACAGAAAAATGAAAAAAATTATTACATAATGATCATCATTATGTAATAAAAAACAAAAAAAAATTATGAAAATGATGTTTCCGAAAAGATTTCCCAAAAACAACCAACCAACCAACCAACCAAAAATTGTTTTTTCTCATCATCATTATCATTTGATAATGATGATGATGGCAATGGGACGAATTTTTCTGGGTTTTTTTTATGATGATTATCATTCAAGAGCCAAGAAAAAAATGTCCTCGAAAAACCATCATCAACAAAATCATTATCATCATCATAATCATTATCATTTAGAAAATTATAATGATAAATCTTTAGTGGTGGTGGTGGTGGTGGTGGTGGTGAAGAAGAAAATCATCATCATCTTCCTCTTGCATTTCAATTGATCATTTTAGATTTTTGGGATAATTATCGATTTTTGCGTTGACGAATGATGGACGTTATGTTTTTTTTTCGTTTCTTGATTTTTTTTGGTTCTGCTTTTTTTTCTTTGGATTTCTTTGGTTTTCAAATGATTTTATTTTCCGAATGAATTCAATAAATCATCATTATCAGCGTCGATTTGCAGCAGCAAACAGAAAGATTATCTTGAAAAAATCGATCAATGTTTTCTTCCAAAATTGGGATAAATCAATTATTTTTTTGTCTTTGGATGATCTTGGATTTCTGGAAAGATTTCTTGTCCATTTTTGTTGTTGTTCGTTTGTTTGTTTTGAACGTGATCTTTGAATATTATCAACATCGGGGAAAAACAAACAAAAATTGAACATGTTTTCGATGTTGTCAAAGGATTTTCTTCTCTTAATTAGGATTTCGTCGTTTTCGTTTTGTTTTTGCTGATTCGAAATAATAAAAAAAATGGGAATTATTTCGGAAATTTTCTCTCGTATTGCTGGAAATTTCCTGGAAAAAATCATCATCATTGGTCACATAGGAATTATCAATTCTTTTCGAATAATGTTGTTGTACAAGGCAGAATATTCTGGTGCAGCAGGAAAAAAATGAAAAAACAATCCAAAAAATGGATCGATTATGAATCTGTGATACCCAGACACAGACAGAGAGATTATTTATCGGCCATTATTGTTTGATTTCAAGGATTTGGATTCGGTCGATCGATCGATCGATTGATTTTACAATTGAAAAAAATTTCAATTGGAGAAACAAATTTTGATTTTTATGAAATCCAAGATTGTCACAAGTTCTTTTGTTTTTGTTTTTGTTTCTCTTGATTGTCGAACAAGCAAAATACAGAAGAGAAAAGCCAATCAACCGAATCGAATTGACCATTCCAATAATTTTTTTTTCATGAATAAAAGTTGAAATTGGAACAGAATTCAACAAGAAAATGTTAATCATTAGTTTTGGAAATTGAAACTTACCAGAAAAAATTTCGACTTGAAAAGTTTTTTGGTTTTTTTGCCAAATGAAAATATTTATCGATTTTTGAGAAAAAAAATTTTTTTTCACAAAATGAAATTTTTGAAAAAATGGGATTTCAAGATGAAGACAACAACAACAACAACAAAAATCTATTATTTATATTTGCGAAAATAAAAATAATAATTTGGTGCGAGAGAAGAGAATTTACAGAATTACAGAATCGAAAAAAAAGTTTTTTCTACAAAATTCTGGAAGAAAAAAAAATAAAATTCGAATGAAAAACTTTACTGTTCGATTCTATTTCGATCCTGTCAGCCAACTATTATCATCATCATTATTCGAATCCAATTTTCACACACACAAAATGTTTGTATTTTGTGTGTTTAGGTTTAAATAGTTTTTTTTCGTACTCTAATTTTCACTTTGCGAGCACCAAAGAGAGAGACCAGAGATAATCCCGAGTGCCAATTACTTTTTTTCAACAACCAACCAACCAACATCACATGTTTTTTTCCAATTTCCAAAAAAGTATCCGTGGATAGAACCGGGCAATTTTTTTCATTTCATTTCGATTTCGATTTCCCAATTCTCATTAACATCATCATCATCGCTTTAGTTTGGCCGGGTTTGGAAAAAACACTCACTCACCGAGAAAATGAGAATTCTACAAAATAACCAAAACAAACAAACATTGAATGAAGATTAACTTTCTCGGAGTTTTATTTTGGTGAAAATGAAATGAATGTTGTTGGAACATAGAGCGAAAAAATTCAATGTTTTGTAAAAAAGAAAATTCTGTAATTTGGATTCTGTGTATAGAGTATTTCCGATTGTATCGATAGTTGAATATCGATAGTGCGAAATCGATAGTGCGAAATCGATAGTGCGAAATCGATAGTAGGATATTGATGGTGGAAAATCGATAGTGCAATATGGAATTCATATTTATCGATGACCGAAACTTCAAACTTTGAATGTCAATTATGTTTGCTTTTGGTCGGTTGGTTGGTTGGTTGGTTTTTCCAGATGGATTTTATTTTCGTTTGTTTTCTTTTCATGAAAATCATTATCGTGATTAAGTTTTCTAGGTCATTGGATAATTGACTTATACAACAACTTGAAACATAATTAATTACAAATTGTAACAAACAACCAAAACTAAAAGAAACAAGAAACAAAATTGGCAAATAAGAAAATTAAAAAAGCAAAGGAAATCGCTTTGTTGCTGTATTTCGGATGGGGAAATCTTTTCGGAAAGAATTTTGATTGCGAGAAAAAAAAATTTCCCAGGAAAAAAACAGAATGATTCGAATGTGTGGATATATTAGGTGATTCGGAAAGTATTGTCGTATTTTTGTATAACATTTTTCATTTTTTCCTCAAAAATTTTTGG